ATCCTGAGGTGGAGGGAAGGAAATTAATACAGGAGACACAGGAGGTGGGGAAAGAAACAGGATCACAAATTCTTCTGATAAAATTTGAAGAACCCTATAATCCTTGATAAAAGGATGCCATTGATGAAGAAAATTGACAGGTCAAGCTCCCACCAGACCAGAACCTACTGGGTAGTCACTGATACTGTTGGAGATGTGATGTGCATCAATAAAGAAGATGACGAGATGAGACACCCCAAGCGGGAGGGACAGGTAAAGGTTGGGAAGGAGAAGGATGGGAAAACTATAACTGATGCTATATTGGGTTCTGACTGAGACAGATGGGCAACAAGAGTGGAAAGGGTAGCCTGTCGTCGTTGTACTGATGCAACTTGTGGCTCCAAGGACTCAGTGATCATGCCAAGTATGTAATGCCACAAAAATAGGGCCATACATAAGTCCCAAAGACAAGATGCTGGTAAACAGACACAAGTTTAGGTCACATCATGACCTAGAAGGTCCTAACAGTAGAGAAACTACTTATGCAAAGCCAGAGCCAAAGATGACAAATGAGCCAATGTGGAGGAAAGAAGGGAGACAATGTCACCAGAAAATCCCACAGTGTTTTGGCAGAGAGCCTCAGAGAGGAGATGGATGGTAGAAAGATACTGTGAGAGTTGTGATGGTAAGACAAAGGTGGTAAAATTGGGCATGGGTCAGGCTTACAGGAGATTCAGGGAGTGCCCCACCTCCACCCCAGCAGGTAAAATAAAACCTAACAATTGTTGGTCTAGAAAAGGACAGTCTGCATGATGATATGCAAGAGCAAACAGATCTGAAGCCCTTGGGTGGCGGGGTAAACTAATCACGTTACTTAACTGTGAGGCAAATTGGTCAGCATGCACCCGAATATATGTGAAATAGGCAATCCAAGTCCTTGTCAGCCTGAACAGGCTCAGCATGTTCGGGAGGAAGTGAGGCAAGGTCCGGAGATAGAGGTTGATCCAGGTAACATTCAATCTCCCCATTAATAAATGCCAATAAATCTCCCACTGGGTTGCCCACACCTGAGGCTTGTGACATAATGCTAGTCATAGGTGTGACCCCTGAAGAGGTAACATGAACTTCAGAATTCATATCAAGAAGAGTCAACTAAAATCGAAATTATTAATAATAATGTGACTGTAATAAACTGGGATTAAATTACAGTGAAGAAACAGTCTTAATAAACTTGGAAGTAATTTAAATGAAAACCACTTTGTGAGTATACTAAATTTGAATGTGAAATTAGAAACAAACAAAGGAACATTTCCAAGCACAAGCACTGCCAAATGAGAAGTGACAGTTCTGTAGAGGCATATAGAGGAAGTCATATGCATCACATATGTCACTCTACTACTGTTGGTGAAGTGATGCATGATGATTTGCATGAGAGACATATTGGAATGATTTGATTCCAATAGGGGGGAACAGAAAGCTTGTGGCATGCATATAGAAAAAAGTTTGTAAAAAGTTTTTTTGGTGTACAAAACTTGAAGATAGCTTTTGTATATGGAAACAGCTGTTAGCTGAGTTCTTGCACAGATCTTAAAATACAACATTGATAAGCGGAAACATCGGCACATGTAGATATGTAGATCTTGAAAGTCGAGTTGTTCAAAACTTGAAAATAGTGTTGATAACTGAACCAATTGTTGGTTGAGATGTTGCAAAGGAAATATCCGCTGAAGCTTTTTGTCAGACACTAATCACAGCAGAACCGTCTGGAAAATGATCTATGGGAAATAATACAACTTATAAAATGAGTCAGATCAACGTAGTCTGGTAAGGCAATCACTGATTGGCATGTCCTTAAGCCAACCAGGAAATGTCACAGACCCACTGAAGGATGTGTAGATTGTATAGGAATTCTTTTTGGTGGCAAAGGACAGGTTTATATGTTTTAATAAAGGTGGCTTCCAAAATATAGAGATGAAAGGTTGACAGACCATTTGCAATAATTTTAAACCTGCTATCCGTGTAGTTGTCAGCACAAGTCGGGTTCACTAGTAAATGCTGGTCAATCGCTGATTCACATTTTGATGGTAGAACTTTTGTTTTACAGGTGTGACATCGTAAATTCTTTTCTTTCACACTCTTATTTCTTATGGACGTGGGTACACGTTGTTTAATTCTATCCTGCAGTCTTTGTGAAGTGCGACCTATGTACCGACATTCGCAGTGGCACGAGAATTCATGAATAACCATACTTTTCTGTGTGGTAGGTATCTCATCTTTGTGAGTTGCAGGCAACAGCTTACATGTCGAATAAGCACAGTAGAAGTTCACTGCAGGAAAATATTTAGTAATGGCCGTTTTCAAT